TGCTCCTTATCACCAATCCCTTGCAATTCAACACTTCCCCAACTTGGTGTCTCCATCTCAATGCACTTATCATAAACCTCATCATCTTCATCTTCATTTTTATCTTCAAGGTCCTCACCCTCCTTTTCATTTCCATCAACCACATCACTTTCATTTTGCAAGAGCAACTCTTGTAGAACCTCTTCGTTGGAAGATGAATCTTTAATGGGTTCTTGAGTTGCCAAACATTGTCTTTGAGCCATCAAGTTGTCTAGTTGAATTTGTAGCTCATTCAATTGCATAAGCATGTTGGACATCATGGACTTCATCTCGGCCTCTTGATCAAATGGTTGAAATTCTTGTTGAGGTTCTTGGTAATGAACTTCTTGAAATTGATCTTCATATTACTGTTGAGGTTCTTGATGTGGAGGTTCTTGAACTTGGCCTTGATATTGGAAATTTGGATCAAAGATGTAGCATCTTTCGGCTTTATGTGGTCCTCCACATATGGCACACCAAAGAGGTTGTGGCATGAACATTGGTGGTGTACCTCTTTGAAAAGCTTCTTCATTGACATTGACATTATATTCCAAAGCTTGTTGTTGATCATCTTGATGAGGCACTTGGTAAGTGGGAGTCAAAATATGGCAACTTTCCAAAGCATGAGAACCACCACATATAGCACACCATGGAGATTGCGGCTCCAAAGCTTGAAAAGTGTTTTCTTGAGGAACTTCTTGACTCATATTGACACCACACTCTTGAGGGAAAGGTTGACAATCCTAAGGTAGTGTTGGACTTGTGGAGTTTAACTTGTAACAATTCTCCAATGCATGAGCTTCACCACAATAGGAACACCACTTAGAATAAGAAAGGAATGATTGAAGTAGACTACCTTGAAAGGTCTTTATACCCATTTTGATGAAATCGGGCAATGACATTCTTTGCTCTTGGAAATCATACCCATCCATAATTCAAAGTTCTTGATTGAGTGGTGAAAACTCTTCCTTTTCAATTAAGAGTGAATGTACAAAGAAAAGATCCTTCAACCAAATCTCAATCAAGGTAAGACAATAAGCTCTTTGAACAATAAAAACAAATAAAAAGAAAGAAAAGACTTAGTCTCCTAAGATTTCCTAAACTCCAATGCTAGCAAAACAAGCAATCACATAGAACCACCAAATTGCCAATCCCCGGCAACGGCGCCAATTTTTTATTGTAGCAAAAATAAGATGTGAGCTCGGGTGTTTTATGTCGTCCTCAGGGGATTGGGATTTATGGCACGCAATATGCAATCACAAGCAACTAGGCACTAGCATAAGGAATTCAACAAGAAGCTAAGCAAATAACAACAAGTTTCAAGGTTACGGTAACTAAACAAAGTAATAAAACACATATTAATAAGATATAAACACGAAATAATGAAATGGGACTTAAGCTAGGGAGCATTATCTTCTAGATGTATAGCACAACCTAAAGATTGGGGAAAATCACACTACCAAGGAATAGAGGGGATGCACGTAGGAATCCTAGTCTATAAGTCACTTACGTGAGCAAATTAACAAGGATTAGAACAAGGAATTGCCTCACTCTCGTGGTGAATCAACTCCAAGTTCTTCAAGAACACAAAGCACCAATAACCCCCAATTTCCCCTATTTTCATAGGAAGAGATTGGGTTTATGCAAGGAGTGGCTTGGAATCTTTACCCAACTCTCATTGAGGCCAAGAATCCTCCCAAACATGTTAATGAATGTTGTACACCAAGCATTAACAAAATACAAACACAAAACCTTCAAAAACTCAAGAACCCTAGGTTAGTGTTCTTCCCCTTTTTTACAGTAGTCACAAATCAAGCATCAAGATAGATAATACAACCCTAACTCAAGTCGATAAACTAACTACTCATGATTAAATAGCATAAAGAGCACAAGAACACACGCATTAAACATAAATCTTGCAAAAGAAAGAGATAAGAGAAAGAAAACTTCACTAAGAAATGGATGGCAAATCTTGGAATCCAAGTGTTAAATCCTTGATTACAAGCTTGAAATGTGTTTTGGAACCTAAATCTAAGCCTAATCTAACACTAAAATATGAAAGGAAGTGAAAGAGATAAGCTAGGGCTCAACCATGGGTCAAAACCGAGTTGAAATGACACAAAAACGCACCTAAATAGAGCAGAGCAGATTGGGACGCCCTCAGGGATGGGCGTACGCCAGGGGGTACGATTTTTGGTGCATTTCCAGTGAAAAATGGATCAGGGAGAAGAGATGCGTACTGGCATGCGTATGGGCGTACGGCAGGGTGTACGAGGCTGCCGGAAACAGAATTCTGTGCACTTGTCTTGACTTCTAGGCTATTTTTCTCATCTAAAACCATTTTATTGGCACTTATGGTCTTCAACAAAGTTGTATAACTTTAAGTTATGTTTCCAATGGTGCAAGAATCACTTCATTTGGACATTTCTAGGCCAAGATATGGTCGAAAAACCAAACAGTGTCCAAAATGAGCGAAAATTACAATGTCTTGATCTTTTGCTCCTCTTTTGTTTTGATTTGCCCAAATGACTAAGACCATTGAATACACCACTCTTAGGCTCCCTTGGAAATATTTTTTCCATCCTCTTAACTTCTCATTGGCTCCCATGGACTCCTAATGCATCCAAAATGCTCCATTTGACTCCAATATCCACCAAAATGCCTAAAAATACTCATCTTTGTTTCCAAACAAAACTCCTAGCAAAATAACACAATTTAATCATAATCTCATGAAATTTGGAATGATCTATAAGCAAAATGGCTTAGTGAAATGGAGGAAAATATAGACAAATAAGCACTTATCAGCCATGTATGTGGGTCGTGGTCGTGGCAGCCACTCTAGTTCCCAAGGTGACGGAGGCTGACATGGCGGACGCAACGGTAGCCGGAACAACAATTGCGGTGTTTGTGGTGGCCGTGGCATTCGTCGGTGTCAAATTTGCATAACACAGCGTCATACAGCAGTGTATTGCTACAAGCGTTACAACACCCAGCCACCTGCCGCTCAAGCCCATGTCGCTGTCTCCGGCGACTCGCCGGCGGTCGCTGCTCTGGCCGAAGCTTGGTATTCAGATACGGGTGCCTCGGCACATGCCACACCTGACGCCGACATGTTAACGAATTCAGAAGAATATGGTGGCCCCGACAACCTCCGCGTTGGAAACGGTATAGGTTTGGTTATCTCGCGGGTTGGCCATGCATCCATCCCTTCAGTTTCCAAGCAATTATATTTGTCTAGCGTGTTGCATGTTCCTAAATTAAACGTCCCATAATTGTCAGTCCAGAAATTTGCTAATGAAAATAGAGTCTTTTTTGAGTTTCATGACAGTTGTTTTTTTGTGAAGGATTCCAAAACCAATGCAGTACTACTTAAGGGTCCTACCTCGGGAGGTCTGTACAAACTATATGTGTCACAAAGCCCGTTTGCGTTTGTCAGTTCCCGTGCAACACCGGTGGTTTGGCATCGCAGGCTCGGTCACCCTCACAGTCTGGTGCAAAATAAAGTCTTACAACACTGCTCGGTCAATCCAAATAATTCCAAGTCCATGGGTTCGTGTTCGGCTTGCCATCTCGGCAAGTCAACTCGTTTTAAACTAGATAGAGTTGACAATTGTAGTGAAAATGTACTAGATCTCTTGTATACGGATATTTGGGGGCCTGCCCCGGTAGTCTCGTCTAGTGGGTTTCGGTACTTTTTGTTATTTGTTGACGATTACTCCCGTTTCTGCTGGTTTTATCCATTACGGGTAAAATCAGACATTTATAAGATTTTTGATGCTTTTTGTGTTTTGGTAGAGCGGCAGTTTTCACGCTCTATCAAGTCTATACAATCGGACTTAGGGGGTGAGTACAGAAAATTACATCACATATTCCAATCATTGGGAATTAATCACCGGCAGTCATGTGCCTACACGCATGAACAAAACGGGAGAGTTGAGCGTCGTAATAGTCACATTGTCGAAACGGGTTTAGCTCTTCTTGCTTAGGGGTCTGTCCCGCAACAGTATTGGGACTATGCCTTTGAGACTGCCACGTGTTTAATAAACTATCTCCCATCCTCAGTCCTAAAATATGAAAGCCCCTACTCTCGTCTCTACGAAGAGTCTCCACCCTATGAATTCCTATGAGTCTTTGGGTGTCAGTGTTTCCCCCATCTACGGCCTTATAATCGGTATAAGATGGAGTATCATTCCACCCCGTGTGTCTTCCTAGGTTACCCACCTTCCTATAGGGGATACAGGTGCATGGACCTTATCAGCGGGAAAACCTATATATGTCGCCACGTGCGGTTTGACGAGTCTGTTTTCCCTTTTGTCACAGGTTTACAGCGGACAAACACTACGTTGTTTCTTTGCCGTGGGTGCTGGACCCATAATACCAACTCTCACGCAATCTGTTGATCATGATCCAGGCCCAATACCACCAGTAACTGAGCCTGTCCCGTTGGCTCAAGAGGCATCGACCTTGGCTATTGAGCCGGCCACCGCACCGGTACGGGCTCAGAAACGGCCTAAACAGGCCTAGCCTCAGGACAGGGGGCATGTTAGGCGGCTTCGCCATATGACTCGGGGTACTAATGAAGAGTTCTACGCCCTAGCTACAACCACTGATCCAACGTGCTACTCTTAAGCAGTTGGCCACCCGCAATGGTGGGACGCTATGGATCAAGAGTTCAATGCTCTTCTTCACAATAATACCTGGCGTCTAGTTCCGCCTAATTCAAACATGAACATCATCGGGTGCAAGTGGGTGTTCCGCACCAAGCGCACGACCGACGGTTCAGTCGAGCGGTATAAGGCTCGTCTCGTGGCCAAGGGGTTCAACCAAGTAGCCGGGGAAGATTCTTCGACACTTTTAGCCCGGTGGTCAAACCGACTACTGTCCGTATCCTCTTTTCATTGGCTGTCTCAAACCACTGGACGTTACGTCAACTGGATGTCTATAATGCCTTCTTGAACGGGCACTTAGCCGAGACAGTATACATGAAGCAGCCACAAGGGTATGAGGATTCAACACACCCAGGTCACGTCTGTCTCCTGCAATGGTCGTTATATGGCCTAAAGCAGGCTCCGAAGGCGTGGTTTAAAGGCCTTCATGATTATTTACTCTCAGTGGGCTTTGCCTCGTCTAAAACCGATGTCTCTCTGTTTTACTACACTGTCGCCGAGTCACGAGTTTATCTTCTGGTATATGTTGACGACATAATCATAGTGGGGAGTGGCGCGACCTTGGTTGGTACTATACTACAGCGTCTAGCCTCTACCTTCAAGATTCGGGATCTTGGTAAACCAGGGTTCTTCTTGGGCATTGAAACAGTTGACTCAGGCACTAGTATGATTCTATCACATTGGCGGTATATGGCCGACCTCCTAAGCCGGTCCCGGATGGTGGATTGCAAGCCTCTAGCCACGCCTGCTTCGGTCACACAGGCTGTCTCTCCATCGTGGGTGCTCTTCAGTATCTTACTATTACGCATCCTGATCTATCTTATGCGGTAAACCGTCTTTGTCAGTTCATGCACTCACCGTCTACTGATCACTGGGCCATGGTAAAACGGGTATTACGGTACATCAAAGGCACTCTAGATTACGGGTTGTGTCTTTCACCGTCGTCAACTACCGCCATACATGCCTACTCAGATTCTGACTGGGCTAGTTATCCGGTGGATAGGAAAAGCACGAGTGGATTTGCTGTCTTTCTGGGGTCGAATCTGGTTTCCTAGCTCTCTTGGAAGCAGCGCATAGTTGCTCGTTCCTCTACTGAAGCTGAGTATAAAGCCTTAGCTGATGTTGAAGTCATGTGGATAGTCTCTTTGTTGTGCGAACTCGGGCTCTATTCTGGTTAGTCGTCCCACTTATGGTGTGATAACTTAGGGGCGACATATCTGTGTGCAAATCCAGTTTTCCATGCCCACACGAAGCATGTGAAGATCGACTATCACTTTGTTCGGGACAAGGTTGCTTCGGGAGATTTTGTGGTCAATTTCATTTCTACCAAAGATCAGCTTGCAGATGTTCTCACCAAGCCCCTACCAGGACCGAGGTTTTCTGCTCTTCGGGACAAGCTCAATGTTGTGCTTCACCAACCTTGTGCTTGAGGGGGTGTGTTAGTATTGGTCTTGTTATTATTATTATTATTATTATTATTATTATTATTATTATTATTATTATTATTATTATTATTATTATTATTGTTTAGACTATAGTACATTAGCTTGTGGTGGTAGAATAAGTCTTAGTCTCTTAGACTATTAGTTAGGAGTCTTTAGTGGTACTGTTTAATATACTATCCTGTAATATGTTCTGTTAAGATTGATTGAATAACACAAACACTCATCGTATTGACCCCCATCATTCAAAACAATTTCTTGATGACAAGCACTGCCTTTCATTAATTGTTCCTCAAACAAAAAATAGATCTCAATAGTATATACCTCTCTAGCATGTGAAATAAGTTTCACATGGTCAATCATCATAGCAGGTACCCCTTGAGCAGAACGAAAATATTCACCATTTTCTTTACTTCTCCAATCATAAATAACGCTAACAAAAGAGGAATAGAAATCACAAAGACCATCAGTCTTAGATAGTGTAACACCCCCGATTTTTACCGTATTTTTAAAACCTTAAAATGCAAGAGATAAGCAATCTAATCATCCATTAAACATAAAGCGGAAGCAAGTCTAAACGGGGGTATTATTCCACATCTTACAGTACTAAAGATGCACAGGCGGGAAAACTAAACAGTATAAACAAGTCATAAAGAGTCAAGGCACACAGGCCGCTCAAAAGGCTCACAGGCCATCAGAACATAACGTCTAGACAAGGTGACTAAGCAATCTATCGCTCCAAGTCTAGCGCTCTCGGGCATCTACTCAAAACCTGTAGAAGAAGGAAAACATAACATGGGGATGATACCCGGTCAGCGAATATTGTTGGTAACCCATCAATACGCGTTAAATAGAATATATAGATAAGTATAAGTCAAAACCATTTTGAAACGGAATACAGTATATATCATTTCAAAACCATAGAGAGAAGTCAACTTCAAGGACTCATTCACACTCTCAAAAGGAAAAGGAATCACCATCCTTACAACAATAACAAGACAAGAATCATGAAAGACAGTATAACTCAAGATGCATTCTACTGATCACAAAGTAGAATAAATCAAGACATGCTCATTAGCAAAGAATACACATTCACACAACGGCAACTACATGCCACAGTGACAACTACATGTCACAAGTATCATAGTTCCAAGTTCCAACCTTATGCCCTGTTCCAACCTTATGGCTAACCCCGGCCTTATTTCAGTTCCAACCATTACCTCAAAGTAACCCATGTACTTCTAAGTCCAACCTTTTGCCTCTGGGGACCGTCATCCCCCCACCAAAATCCACCAACATTTCCGCTGAACTCTCAGTACACGAGGGTACCATTAATTTCATGATCACAAAACCGCCAAACTCGTGAGCAAAGCTCAAGTAACAAACCACCAATCTCAATCATAATCACACAAGTCATCATCATTACCAAGAAGACTAAGGTTCCACAATAACCTTAATCAAGTATCAATCAAAGGGTACAATGATTACATACGTTCATATCATAGGAATCAATCAATGGATCACAAAAAAGATATGAAACCATACTCAACAACGAAAGATCACAATCCGACACCAAACGATGGTCAACACAAGTTGCAAATCCCAATATGAAAAAACAAACCGCACATACTAGCATTTCAACATCAAACTAGCAAGCTTATCAAACGGGTAAACCAAAAGTAGTTCCATAGAACATTCAAGACTCACAGTAGTCCAACGAATCACAAAGTCGGACCCTTAGAACGATTCAAGACACCATATCCTACATGGATTCCTAACATACCGTTCTAGACATACGAAACATCAAGAAGACTCACAAATGGCCCAATAAAACAACATCAGGATGTCAAAACATCAATACCGAGTCAAAAGAATCGCGGGGAACAAATCCCCGCCATCGTCCAACAGTGTTCCCCGCGGGTGGGGCCACGGGTGGACAACCACCCGCGGTTCCGCCCGCGGGTACCAACCCACAAGGCACCATGTACCCCGCGGGTGGGACGGCGGGTAGGCCTCTGCCGGTAGTTCCGCCCGCAGGTACGCCCTGTACACCAAAATAATCCCTTCGGGGATTTTCAACAACAAGTCCAAATTCAAGTCCAAAACACCTAAAATCTCACACACAACAACAACAATATGACTTGAACCCAAGAAATAGCCAAGCAATGGCATTCAAGAACCCTAAGAACAAGCTCTAAACATGCATCACCACAAGACAATGCATCAAATCTCACATTTCAACACAAGTATCACAAGTAGAAGCCAAGAATAATCATATAAGTAAGAAAATAAGTTTTGTAAAGCATGGGTTACCTTTGTAGCCTAATAACTTCTTCTTTTCACCCTTAGAAAGCCTTTCCTAAAGCTCTTCTTCCACACCAACTTCATACACAAACCAAAAGACATCAAAGATTCTATCTTTAGAAAAAGACACCTAAAAGGGGGTTAAAAACACCAAAAGACCAAGGATCTTACCCTCCCTTATGCTCAAGATGAAGAAAGTAGGAATCTTGGGAGAAAACTTGCAAGATTTGGGATGCTCAAATCCTAGCTTGGAGAAGAAGCTACACCTTTTTAGAGAGCTAGAGATTTTTGTGTTTGGATTGTAGGGGGAATGAAATGAAGAGGTGTTGCTAGGTTAGCTTGAACCACAAACCTTAGGTAGAAAGACATCCCTACCCTTACTAAAGTTGGAAAGACAAGGGAACAAGGGCACAACTCAAGAAGCACAAGGTACAACTCTTTTACTTTAAGTGACTAGTCAAAATTTAGTCCCTCGACTATTGAATTTCAGGATTTTTAGGAATAAATTAACAAAGAGACTAGGATTAATTCTCTAATTAATCCTTGATTAGAGTTTGAATTTACGGGGTGTCACAGATAGCCTTCTAGAAATTAAATGATTTGTAGTTTCACTCCTTTGTGAAGATAAAATTACCCCAGAAAAATAATCCTTGTTAAATGGTGGACACCATTTCTCCCTACAATCATAAATCTTCCCTAGCCACGAATTCTTGTGACACTTATATTCCGTCACCATCCTGAAATTTACAAGACACATTTACTAAAAATTCGTGTAAAAGACAACAATAAGATAACCAAATCACTAACAGATGCCCCACAAACCAAAACACTATATATTCATAACTGATATACATTAGAATCATAATTGCTATATTGTAGACTCATAATTGCTATACTCCAGATCCATAATTTTTAGACTGTAAAATTCATAATTCATATACTTCATATTCATAATTGCAATATTGTAGATTCATAGTTGATATACTGTAGATTCATAATTGCTATAATGTATATTCATAACTGATGTATTGTATGTTCATAACTCGTACACTGTAAAGATATCCATGAAATCCTTATTGTTCCTTAACGTCTTGATATGCTTCTTCGAATTCTCACCAATATGTCATATGCAAAAACGATGGCGTGATGTTGGAAAAACTATCAAAATAGCAGCAGTCATAGCTGCACATTGATCCGTCATGATAGATTGTGGACACTTGCCATCCATAGATCTTAAAAAAGCTCTAAACAACCACACAAAGGATTCTATCCTCTCGTTCTTCAAAAACCCACAACCAAACATTACATTCATGCAATGATGATTCATCCCTACAAAAGGCCCACATATCATATCATATTTGTTAGTGCGATATGTTGTATCATGCACTAACAAATCTCCAAACAATTCATAATCCCGTCTCATTTGACCATCCCTCCAAAAAAAATTACACAATCTCGCATCGGAATCAACTTCAAAATCGAAAAAAAAGTTAGACTCATTAGACTGCCTCCTCCTAAATATTTCAATTAAAGAATTGGAATCAGTTCCATCCAAGCTCTTAACTGTGTCACAAGCCAGCGAATTATAAGCATCACGACTGGTGAAACCAATCAATGGAGACCCACCTGATTGATGTTTCAAAAACCTAATACCACCCGCCAATCCAACTCCACTCTCCTTCAAATCTTTTAAACATGAAAGCTGATTACTTCCCACTCTTCTATGTGAACGAAGTAGATGACTCTTCTCTAAATCACATAACTCATGATTGTGCACATTCATATGTTTTGAAACTGTCCACGAGCCATCCCCACCCACATCAAACTAAACAAATACACCACACCCCATCCTTGTATCAATTTTTGAATAAAGCTTAACACCACTATCTGCCTTAAACTTAAAACTAGCCTTAGAACAGTAAAATCTTTTCATTTGAATTGTCTTGGTAGATGCCTTGTAACGTTAAGTTGTTTACCCTTCCTCACTGTAACACCCCCTAAAACCATGTTATTTAAAGCCTTAAAACATTCAGATAACTTAAACCAAAACACCAAACACAGCGGAAGACTGAAAGAGAAGATATATATAAAACAAGGAAACGGGGTGCTATGCCACGCTCACCCAAGGGTGAACGCACAGGCTAAATCTGCATTGTTTAAAATCTACAACCACCCAACAGAGTACTAAGTCTAGATTGGCTCACAGGCCACAAAACATAAAAGGGGAGCTATACTAGCTGGCACTAGACCGCGCACTCGTCTAAGCATCACCTGAAAGAAGCATATAAAACATGAGACGATGCCCGGTCAGCGAATAATGCTGGTAACCCACCAATACATGTGAATACACTACAAGAAAAATGCACATAGACAACGGTTAATAACCGTTGTCGTAGGGGTAAAACTTCTGTTGTTGAAGCCGGTGTTGTTGTAGGTCACGCGCATAGACAACGGTTTTTAACCGTTGTCTTTTCTAGAAACGACAACGGTTTTTCAACCGTTGTCTATTAAGTGTTGTTGAAACCAGTGTTGTTAAAAGTCACGCACATAGACAACGGTTTTAAACCGTTGTCATTTCTAGAAACGACAACGGTTTTCTAACCGTTGTCTATTAAGTGTTGTTGAAACCGGTGTTGTTAAAAGTCACGCACATAGACAACGGTTAAAAACCGTTGTCTTTTCTTGAAACGACAACGGTTTTCGAACCGTTGTCTATTAGGTGTTGTTGAAACCGGTGTTGTTAAAAGTCATGCACATAGACAACGGTTAAAAACCGTTGTCTTTTCTTGAGACGACAACGGTTTTCGAACCGTTGTCTATTAAGTGTTGTTGAAACCGGTGTTGTTAAAAGTCATACACATAGACAACGGTTTTTAACCGTTGTCTTTTTTAGAAACGACAACGGTTTTCGAACCGTTGTCTATTCAATGTTGTTGAAACCGGTGTTGTTAAAAGTCATACACATAGACAACGGTTTTTAACCGTTGTCTTTTCTTGTAAAGACAACGGTTTTCGAACCGTTGTCTATTAAGTGTTGTTGAAACCGGTGTTGTTAAAAGTCACACACATAGACAACGGTTATAAACCGTTGTCATTTCTATCAACGACAACGGTTTTTGACCCGTTGTCTATTCAATGTTTTTGAAACCGGTGTTGTTAAAAGTGATGCACATAGACAACGGTTTTGTAACTGTTGTCTTTTCTTTAAAAGACAACAGTTATAAACTGTTGTCTATTGTGTGTTGTTGAAATCGCTGTTGTTAAAAGTCACGCAGATAAACTGTTGTCTTTTGTAGAAAAGACAACAGTTTCAAATTGTTGTCTATTGTAAAATAGACAACGATTTTTAACCGTTGTCTCAACGGTTTTTAACCTGCTTAAATTTTAATCATATACCAAAAAACAATTTATCCATTCACCATGGCCAACTGTAGTTACATAATTTTGCACAAGCTAAGGTTCAAAATAACAAGTGTAAATACTTCCATGACCAATTCTCATCGAATCAAATATCATCCAAGTCATAATAATACAAAAAACAATTCGACGAAGTCATCATAATACTACAACAAACAATTCCACGAAGTCTAAAAGATCACAACGTTCTAATGATCAAATCATACCTACTGTATATAACTTGATATAATATCGGCCCATTCAGAACGCACCAGATCAATAACCGCTTTGTCATATTCAACTTGTTGGAACTACATGTAAAAAGTGAGTAAATAAATTAGTAATTGCAATGAAATTCGAAATAAGTTAGGAGTAATTTTCAAGAACCAATATACGGTAATAGAGTTTTAGCAGTTCTAAAGGCAAGAGCTTTTGTATTTTCTCTAATCTCTCCACTTTAAACTTTGTGAATAAAATGATCAAATTAAAAACTAAAAAGCATTCATTCAATAGACATCAACAATAAATGGAGTACTCAAAATTATACTGGCAACAAGAATCTCAAATGCATCATATTTCCACTTTGAAACATTGAAATCAAAATAATTTTAAACACGAATTAGAAATTGAATTATTACCAGTGCTTGAACAGAATCTTTATCATCAATGTCCGGCATGTTCTCAATTAAAGTCTTCAGGTAAGCCATGACATAGAAACCGCATTGGTTACTATCCGGCTGACGAGGAGCCTACAAATGTTAAATAAGATTTGCATGTGCATTACAATTTAACATATACAAACACTTATATCTAATTAGTTACAAATATTAAATTACCTTGACAATTTCCCAAGCAGTTTTACTTCGTCCTTTCTTTCCATTCCCAGAGGCCGCATGAACCATTTTAATAGCCCTTCAAATATATTGTTGATTATTCAGATTATGTGATAATCATACTGATATAAATCGAAAGAAATAACAAAAAAAAAACTTACATTTCTACAACATGTTTCCAATCATCATCGCGAATGCGATGACTAAGAGGGTCCCACAAATAAACAATATCCTTACTGACGTTGATAACTGTCAGAATCCAATGGAAACTATACAGAAACACAAAATTATATTACATCAATAGAAAATAATATGCAATGGAAAGTATAATTGTAATCATTCTTACCCTACATTACATGGCACCAAAAGTGATGCACTACTTGGATTGTCAATTAGTCTGTCTGCTAAAGCTCGTGCCCTACTTTCCAACTGTTTGTCTAGGAAATTTTTATCTGTTCTTGTCGTTGGCACATGACCTACATGACATGGCTGCATAAATCTGAATTTTTCAAGCTTGTTGTCTTCCATCATCTTTTTATACAAATACCTAACATTGGAATGGAAACTGAATTAGAATAACAAAGCATAGAAGTGATAAGTATATATAATTGACTCGAAATATATATTAAATCATACCATATGTACACAGCAATACATGTGTACGATATTGGCATCAATTGACAAAACGGAGTCACATCTTCGTCGTGCACATATAGAGTACATTCTTCCCCGAAGACATTTTCATCTAGCACTATTTTTAAACTCTCTCCATTCCCAAGTGCACGCTTGTAATAACAGTATAGTAGCCATAATGACTTAGGCATACTTGAGGAGTTCAACTCAAGCTTTTTGACTTCCTTGCTCGGTTTCTTCTTACATTGTTTCTAATTTGCAAAATATACACATATTAGGTAAATAAATAAATATACTAACCAAGACATGTGAATTATATACATGCACAAATTAACATCTCCTACAGTTTATATGAAAAATGCAAAACATTTGAAAATTGAGAGGATGAAGCAAATCTGCAAAACATTTGACAGAGGCACCAATACGTAGATAGTAATTTTTGCCTAATAAACTAAGTAAAATGTAAACTTCAGTAAAGAGGGAATATTTACCTCCAAGACATCTTCTTTGTCAATAAACTGCAGCTCATCATCATCATCTTCGAAATCCAATTTTTGTTTCATAAAACCAATTTCTTCTTCACTCAGCTTCATCGCACCCTTTGCATCCTTTGCAGTACAACTCCCTTTTTCTTCAATCGGAGATGATTTAAAGGCAACATTTTGAAGGACCAAATTTTCTAACTTTGCAACTCTGTCTTCTACTGTTGCTTGTCGTCTTAGAAGGACATTTTTCTCATGGTTAGGAAGCATCCCTTTACCCAATCTGAAATATGTTGAGGGATTGACATGTCCACCTATAGCCCTCACCCGACCTCCATGCTCCTTAGATTCAAGAGCCTGTGTCAGGATGTCCTCATTTGGTCCTTGAAGTTGCAACAAACCATCTTGCTTTTGCTGAATATATTCATCCTGTAATTCATGACAAATGACCATGATAACCACAATCTTTCGAAATACATAAAGAGGAAAATACCAGTAAATTAAAGGTTTTGCTTACAATCTTTGTAAATTTTGTCTTCAAAACATCTCCTTCTATTTCTCCTTGCTTACTAGTTCTCCCTTTCTTCCAAAGTATAGCTCTATTCACTTCGTCATCATCACACAATTCTGTTGACTACAGCCAAGAAGATTTATCAATGTCAAACTAAGGGTGAAAATGAGTTTAAGTTATTAGTGAAAGTGAATAGAGATAAATACTTACAATTTCACTAGCAAGACGCGCATATCCTTTACGAGCAAGCCTATGTGGATAAAGGTTTTGCTTTCTTCGTACCTTTTGCTGCTCGCTTAGTTTCTAAGACAAACATGATCAAAACTTGACATTATATTTCTAAGACAAAGATGATGCTTCATGCTTGAAAAGTGAAAACAGACATGATAAAAACAGAAATGAGGAAAAGGGGGAACACTTCATCTTTTTTGATTTCTTAACTGAACTCATTAATTGGTAATATTACAATAAATCTTAATTGTTATACGGTTTGGAACAACCTGAATACATAAATGCTAAACTAATATATATATATATAAATATATATATATATATATATATATATATATATATATATATATATATTCTAATTGAATATGCCTCATAGGTGGGGATTTAATTTTTTAGTTATTTTCCAGAGGACAGATGGCCAAAGCATAATCTTAATGACTAAGCATCACAACAAATCATATTACTGCAATTACACAGGACAGTCAGAAATCATGTGGCATCAAACATGGGTGTGGTTTCTGCAAGTTTGTGTACTGTATAGAGCTAAATTGTTCAATGGGATAAGTTGCTATTTTTGTTAAACACACTTTGCAAGATGAATACCTGTGCAAAAGCTTGTGGTGGGCATTTGAACTTTTTAAATTAAATTGATATATACACATATAGATAGACTTCTAGTTTTGAGGTTACCTTGAAGTCTTCGGACATGCGGCTAATCACAAATTGACTCCATTCATCTCCCATAATACCATATCCTGGGGGTGGTTTGTGCAAGTTTTCTTCATCATTCAGTCTCTTCCAAATAAAGTTATTTGTGAGTTGTGTTTTATATTGCCGCCATTTGTCATTTGCTGAACTCAAGCAAGGTTTCTTGAATATTGCCGGAACTCTGAAGCTCAACTACATAGATAAAATTTTGTGAGAATTAAACGACTAATGTGTTAAATATCACAAATACTAAGTAAACGAATTAGATTTTCCTTACATTAACAGCGTCCCATATCTTGTCTTTAATATCCTGTGGCACATGTTTCCATGTCTTAAAATTCAACTTCACCTTTTCTCTTGCAAGGACACCAATGTAACTTTGTAGTTCTGCAGCACTATCTCCAATTGGTTGTCCTAGTTCATTGAATTGTACGTCTTTCTTCAGTCCTTGTGCCCTTTGCATAGCAAGCTTATGCATTTGGGTACGACCTCGTGTGCTCCTCGTTGACTGGGTTTCTTGAGAACCCGACATGTTTTCTTCCTCATCTACCTGAACCGAGTGATAGCATACCTTACATGTTTGGGTAACACACCTCGAATAGCAACTGGAAGCAACTGTTGCATGAAAGTGTGACAATCGTGAGATTTAAGACCAACAAGTTTCAACTCCTTCACATTGACAAGGTTTCTCACATTAGATGAATAGCCTGATGGGACTTTCATATGTAACAAAGAGTTACAAACTTTCTTTTTCTCATCTTTGCTTAGGGTATAGCAAGCAGGTGGCAAAAACGTTCTCTTCTCCCCTTGTTTTGGTGCCAACTCCATTCTCACATTCATTTCCACAAGGTCTAGTCGAGCAGCTACCCCATCTTTGGTTTTTCCTGGGATGTCAAGTAATGTGCCAATAATACTTTCACACACATTTTTCTCAATGTGCATGCCATCAAGAACATGCCGAACATGCAAATGCTTCCAATACTCAAGCTCAAAGAAAATTGATTTCTTTTTTCCAACATGATTCACTAATTTTTTCTTTTAGCATTTAGCTTGCCACTGTTTTTTCCCCAACTACAATTGATCCCCTCAACTGTTTTCAGAACATCATGGCCACTCAATGGTTTGGGTGCTAAGTCGAATTTCTTGCTTACCATCAAATGCCTTCTTTTGCCTTCGATAAGGATGAGTTTTACATAAAAATCTTCTATGTCTGTGAATGCCATTTTCTTACTATG